AAGTTCAGTTTGTAAGAATCCATTGACTTCCTCTTCTTATTCTTCTCTTTTATATTTCTTTCATTCTTTTTATTTTCTAAACAAGAACTCAGATTTCAAGGAGCGAATATTGACAGATTCAATTTGTAAGAATCCATCGACTTACGTAGGCTAGATGGAAAGATATTGGGGGTTTCATTGTTCCTCTTCTATGGACAAAAATTGAGAAAGGTAATGAAACTTTAATTTTTTGTCTTTGGACAAAACAAAGAGAACAATAGGGTGAGCGATTCAGGATGAAAGGGGTTTTTCTCTTCTTATTTTTTTTTTTCTTTGGACGAAAACTAAGAAATAATAGAGGGGTGAAAAATTAAGGACGAAGGGGTTTCTTCTTCTCTAGGTTTTGATTCAAAGAAAAAGAAAATGAAACCCTCAATCTTGTTGATCGTTACCCTCTATTTATGAGTTTGTCTTTCAATTTCTGAGTTTTTGTTCATAGGAAAAAAAGAAAGATATTGACCTTTTATCATTCACTCCTTTTGTCTAAGTTTTCATTCAAAGAATAAAAATGAAACCCTCAATCTTGCCAATCATTTACTCTTTGTTTCTGAGTTTTTGTTCACAGAAACAACTAAGGGTTTCTATACATTTTTTCCTACCTTCTTTATTCCTTTTTCCTATATTTTCTCATTTCCTATATATTTTTCGTATCTTAATAATTATTATTAGGGCCATTTACTGGAATACCCCCTATAGTTTCATAGTTTTACTTAAACCTACCCTATAATTTGCATTTTACTAAAACACCCCTTATAATTTGCAACCTATTTACTTTAATCAACCTTTCATTAAAAACTATTTGTATTGCTATATGAAAATAGTAACATAATCACCTAAACTGAGTGAAAAATGTTTAAGGGAATGGACCCATGGTTGTTTATTCCAAAAGTACCCCTAAACTAAGTGGAAAATATTCAAGGGTATGGATCCATGGTTGTTTATTCCAAAAGTAACTTAACACTTTTTTTGTATAGAAAACAAAATTTACCATATAGAGAAAAAATAAATGTTCATTATGCTATCTTTTCATAAATATGGAATTAAAAGTTCCGCATATTTGGGGGTGAAGGCACTTGACATGTAGAAATTTGATTGGGCCATTGTTCTAGTCGTTTCTCTTCATCTTAGCTATTTCAATTGTTAATGTTGTTCTAATTCCATTTTTAGATCTGTGCATGTGGTTATAGAAAAAGGCATTTTGGTCGGATGGAGTTCTACCCATTTGCACATAAGCCAACACATTTGCACATTTGCTCTTCATCTGAGACTTCTTGTACTATATCCATTTGCACATAAGCCAACACAAATTTGTATTTACGATAGATGATTCAACCATGGGGACAAGGTCATCCATTTCTGGCAGATGGAGTTCTACGCATACATTAGTATTGAGGTTTAATTTATTGTCTCATAAACGGTTTTATACAATTGAATTCATCCGTTGATAGTAAAGGAAATTGCACGTGTGGTTTCAATCATGGATGGAACAGTTCAATGATTTGATTTGATTTTTTTTTTTTTCAATTGTGAGGTCAAATCTGGCCTTATATACAAACACTTACGTTGTATCATGGTCGGACTCATCATACAATTCTCTAATTATCCTTTAGAAACGGGGTATTCTTAACCAATGTTTTCAGCCCAGTATTGACCCGGATGGTTGAACTGTTTGAATGTTTACTGGGTCCGATTTTTCTAAAACCTGGAAATTGCCCAAAAATCATTGATATGATAAAAACCGTTCAACCCAGGCGGTTGAACCATTGATCATTCCACCCGGTTGACGGGTCACAGGTTATACATTAAAATGTGTTCAAACCTGTRGAGGCTTATAACTTTGTGCCTGATTGTCTAATTAGGGGTGATATTTTTTTATTCTTTTTTGTTTCAATGATTATGGGCAACTTTTTGAGCTGTGTTTCTAGGTCTTGCTATTTTTTTCTGAAAAAACCCTTTTTGCCTCAAATTTCAACTTTTATATTTTTTATATAAAAAATTATAAAACTGATATAAAAATATAAATTAGACCTAATATAAGCCATATGCATATATGTATACACGTATGTATGTATAATGTGCTGATGTGTTATAGACTGACCTGTCCGACTCAGATGGTTAAACTGCTAAACCAAAACTCAGGCAAAAACGATTCTGCCAACACTGTTCTTAACAATAGACCATTTGGGACAAAAAAAGGGGTGTTCAACAACATAAATGTTTTTTTTTTCATTTATTTTTTAAACTGTCACATCAGCAAAAAACAAAAACATGTTCTTGAACAATATTTTAGCTTTTCAAAAGAAAAAACAAATTGGTTTTATTTGAAAAAACACGTTTACGAAACAACCAAAATAATGTCTTTTGAAACACAAATTATATGATTTATTGAACAGAGATGAATACAAGTTCTTTAAACCAAAAAAACACACGTGTTCCGGTTTCAGTTTGGAAACCAAAAAGCACACACAAGTAACCAAGAACATGGTTTTATTTTTAAACCAGCAACCCCTAAGTCAGCTGTAATGTGACACTTTGAAACTCAAGACTTGGGATTTGCCATTGCTGCAATTATTCATGCATGATCGATTGGTTATTTTAAAATTTTAATACACCCTAGGATAGACGAGATGCCTACGCACTCAAGAACTAGCTTGGACTGGAGTCCTTTACAATTCAGTACTTAAGCAATGTTGCACCGAATGTCACAACCCACAAATCACAAGGCACGTCTGAATAGCTTGAAGGAGAATCAGGAGATGCTTAAAAAATGATTGTCGATGTTAGACAATGTATGTCCTTAACTCCAATCAGAATGATGTATATTATGACATTTATTGTAAATGAATAAAGTATATATTTGATTCATGTTATTATGGTGTGTTTCTGTATAATACCCTTAAATTGGACACATATAAGACTCGTGTTAGTTTAGAATCTTCACAGTYGTTGGATAGATCTGGGGAGATTTATCTTACCAAGACTGACATTGATGTGCCACTAAGTTGGTTGGGGTGGCTTGTCTCAGCTGTTAGGGTGAGACCTGAGGTACATGCAGTGTGGATTTTCTTGAAACCCTAAACCAGATCAGAATTTCAATATTGCCCTGTACCTTGGAGATAGATGGACAAAACTGGAATATTACACCTGACCCCTAGACTTGATTATGATACTGCACTAGGTATCGGATTGAATTGTCTTTGATATGCCAATTAGTGAGATTCTTAGAGGGGGTCAAAACCTAGGTATGTTGTGATAGTCCGAGAATTCATCTGAGTGGGTGATCATAGTGACAGGATCAGTCCCTTTGTTGGACAAAGTGAATGATCAGGGATGCATTATCTTTGATGGAAACCAATGCTATTGGCAGCCGATTTCAACCATTGAAATTTGTTTTGCAAAATATATATATATATATATATATATTATGGTTTCAAAATGTTTGCAAAAAGTTTTAATTCCCGAGATCAATGTGAGTAGAGAGTGCAACACTGTTCTTTGCAGCCAAGGGAGAGATCCTCTCTTGTCGAGCAGTGTTTGATCATTATAGGCTGAGAGGTTAACTGTAAGACCATTGAGGGTAATACCTAATGGGCTAATCTTGCATCTGCCCACAGTCCTTGGGTTTTTATAAGGTGGCTTGACMCAGGGACCATTTAGTGTAAATGTTGGGCCCATTAAGAGCACATGGTGATGGATTCAGAGGTTCACTGTCTCTTACAATGAATTCAGYCAGGCCTTGTAACAGAGGTTGGACTAAACCCATGTGACTAGTATGTAGATCAATGTTTGGGTCCCACGCCATACAAGGATACCCAACTGGGCAGCAGTTTGGAGGATAAGTGAGCACATGGACTTAATGGGCCATAGGCCTAAAGCCCAATTTGAACTAGTTTAATATGATTAATTAAAGAGGGGTGATTCTAGGATTTAGATCAACAGATAGGATAAGGGATTGTCCATATCCACTCAGAGAGTTCATATCCAAATAAAGATTTGGATTATGAAACTACTAATGAGATTATGATGACTGATATTTATTTGTAGATAAAATAAGGGCTTATTATCATTATCTCTTAAAGAGAATCCAGATCCAAACACAAGATTTGGATTAGGAAACTCCTAATAGGATTAGGAGAACCTCTCTTTAAGGCTATAAATAAAGGAGGGCAAACCTCAATTCACCCAATCAGATTACTGATACAAGAGACAGCTGTAGTTGGACTGATGCCATCTTCTGCTCTTGCCTTCTTCTGCTGTTGCCGCCATTGTCAGTTCGATCTCCATCTGTATGAGCGATCAAGAAAGATTCTTGATATCAGTTTTTGGAGAAAAACTAATCTGAAGTTGTACTCACTCGCCCATCAGATTCTTGGTGAAGAATCTAGTTCTTACTGAAGAACCATCATGCTGATTCTGCTCCACCCTACGCTACGTCATATTCAGTGGAAGCACTCTTTGATGATTTCCTTGGGGGTAGACACCTTCATTGGGAGTTACTACTACTTTGTATTAAGTATTTCCCTCTCTTACCTTTTGGTTTCAGATTTGGTCTGGTTTAGGGTTCAAGACTGATCCTTGAAAWTGTAGTTTGCTAAAATAAGGAATGTAATTCTCATATAAAAAAAATTTTTGAAATTTCGCCCAATCTACTTGTAGGTTTCGACCATCCATATGATGAATCTCTCATCTCTTTAGTCGACTCGACTGTATTCTTCACTAACTAAAGATTTTCCTCGCAAAAAGAATAAGCTCCTTTGTAGAGGATTCCAGGCTGTTCGACCTTATTAACTAATTTAATGGAATGGTGGGATAACGTTTTATATACCTGTTGCCAACTTGCCATTTAATTTAGTTGCAAGAAAATCTTTCGCAAGTCTTAACGCAACAATCTCAAGGAAAAATTACAAGTGAAACTACCAAAATAGAGCTACAAATTTTTAGCCAAAGAAAATTTGCACCTGTGCAAAGAACCTAAAACGTATCCATTACCATATATGATACACAACTCGTTGCTTTCATTATATAATACAACCCATAAATGGCCTGCTCTATAGATGCCATTGGAAATCATGTGACAAGGGAGCCTAGGGGTTGGGGAATATACTACACAAACTTTTTTCTCTAATGGAGTTAAATTCAAAAATGTAACAAAGGAAATAATCACAACTCAGACAACCGAACCTCAATACACCCCCCCCCCCCCCCCCCCGTCCCCCGAAAAAATAAAAGAAAAAGAAAGTAACTTTCATCAATGAAGCTAGTGTGTTTACCATATGCACCGGCTTCAATTGGCAGGGTTTGAAACTCTTGTCAAGCAAGTGGATCAGTCCCTTCCAATGGAGTTGGAACATTCGTCCACTGGGTATCACCCATTTCAGCACCGTTGGATGCTAGGGGTGGTGTGCTTGCTGCTATTGTAGTACTTGATGCAGGTGTACTTGCAACTGGTTCTGAAGTACTTTCAGGTGGGGCAATTGGATCGCTCAATGAAGATGAAGGTGTAGCACTCGGTGGTCCAACTGGATCACTTATTGCCAATGAAACTGGAGCACTCACTGGGGGAGCAGCCAGAGGAGGTGCTTCTAGTAGCATTGGCTTGCCTGGCTGCTGCTGGGAGCCTTGGGTGGCAGGAGCTGGCTTCTTTGGAAGACTGATGGGATTGGATAGAGACAACATCCCTGGAGGTAGAATCTCAATTGGTGCCTTCTTCCCTGCTTCGGCCAAACTTGTAAGCTTGGGTTCCTCCAGTGAAGAAAGAAAAGCAGCTGTAGCATCAGTTTTTGTTGATGGGACAGGCTCAAGCTCTTTCTGTAACATCTTATTCCAGGACTGGACCAGGTTCTTCAATGTTGGTCGCCCATGAGCCTGAAATCATCCAAGAGTGTAGAGATAAATCAAAATTACTGAACCATATATTGTAATCAATTTGCATAAACAATGACACTATTTATACATGTGCATGAAGAACAGCCTCTGCCAGCATTCCAGTGTCCTGCCATGCCTTCTCCATTAAAGCATTGTCTCCCAAAACTGCAGCTGAAAATGCTGCTTCACGTCCTTGTCCAGCTGAGATAAGATTATTTACCAACCCCTGAAAGACAAAAAAGTAACAAGGCAAAGCAGAAAATTAATAATTAGCAACAGAACAACTAATTATTCCAACAGGTTTGACAGCATTTTAGGACTGTAATGTTGGGAAGACAAGTTTATTCATGATAAAATTTCAGAAATTCTCTCTCTCTCTCTCTGGTAAAAAGAATTTTATTGTTAACAGATATAACTTTAGTCACTTTAGCAATGTCATGAGGATCCCCAGGTTGAAACCCACAAAAAATTCTTTAACAATCTGTTACTAGATAAACCACCTATTTCTACTATGTAGGAGATTCTTGTTGCCAATTCAGAATGCCTGTAAGGCAGAGTGCCATCTAGATCAGCCACATCAGCTCTATTCCGACCTAGTATTGGAATTTTGATAAAGTTGCATTGGTTATCTTCAATTTTTTATTTTCAAAAAGACCATAAAGAAGGGCTTATTTTGGACAGATGGCAAGGCCTTTCAACCTGAAATTTATTCCACTAATCAAGGGTGGTCAGAAGAACCTCTATTTGTCCCTCAAAACAAGTTGACACAGAAATTTAAGGAAGCTTACTAAACGATATGGCCAACTGACCAGTGTTTTAAAAGCACAAGGCATGAGAAAAGCGCAAGGGCCAAGGGCCTTCTAGAGCCTCAGGCACAAGATGCAAGATGAAGATTCACCTTTTTGAAGCGAGGCACAAATTATTGAAAATTTTCTAAAAATAAATAAACACTAATACATAAAAAATGAAAACCTGAATTTTAAAAGAAATTAAATGTGTAAAAAGTCTATTGTCTACTGATAAAAAAGCCTATTGGTTCAAGGTATGATAAATGTATGCACAACATTTATAGAACATAATCAAAGTGAAAACATAGAAGTAAGAGCACATATATGTGGATGCCAAAGTGTTTCAAGCACTAAAAAATTCAAGCATGTGAAACTTTCAATCCTAGTTGCATTACTTCAGGTAGCTAGTGTGATGCTAGGGGTGGATTTGAGCCAAGCTGAGCCGAATATCTGGCTATTTGAGCTTGGCTTGCCAAAAATCCACGAGGCTCAAGCTTGAGTTCGAGCTCGATTTCGGTTCAGCTCAAATGTTAATATGTTCAAGCTCGGCTCGGATTGAGCTTGAATGTGAGCCAAACTTCCAATAAAAATATGGGGTTTTTATAGTTCAGTCCACCCCTAGGGTGGAGCTAAGATTTCTAGGGGTGGACTGAATCCTGCCCGTGGATTGATGCCAAATTCACGGGCAGGATGCGGTTTATGGGGGGGCTACTAGTAGACTAGGAAGGGGCTGCAATTCAGATTTCTGAGGTGGATTGCAGTCCACTTATCCCTAAAAATAAATATTATACATATAAAAAATGTTTTATTTTACATACAAATATTCAAGGATTATAAAAATTATTTATTATCATACATATAAAAAATTATTATATATAACATTTATTATTATACATATAAAAAGTTACTTATTAATATATATAAGCTCGATTAGGCTTGTGAACCTCATGAGCTGAGCTTTGTTAGGCTCAATAGATCATGAAAAGCTCAATTTGTTTCCACCCCTATGTGACGCTAAACATCTTGCATTAGGAGATTAGCCCTCCCCATCCGTAAAAGCCCTTGAGGCAAGCCCAGTTGAGTCAATTTGGCAGTTTTGGGCAAATACCAAAAAACAACCTAAATTTTTAGGTTGTATATATAAAGGGGAAGATTTTGTAACTTTGCCAGTGTGAGATTGTTAGGTTGGCAGTTGCCACTAAAACTTTTGCAAAATTCTCATGAACATGGGGCATTATTTGCCTTTTCATGCTCATGCTAGGGCATTCTCTGAAAATGATGCACTTCACCCAAACCTAAGTGTAGTGTCACATAGGCAAGGGTTTACTAAGATGGTTCCTTAAGTGACCCGTCACAACAACACCTAATTGTGATGTTAAATAGGCAAAGGTTCCCACATCCTTCTAGATAGGGACATGTAAAGAAGCTAGTCCAAGAGACACAACTTCGTTTAGTTATTTGGGTTGTAGGAACATTAATAAGAAAGACTGCAATTGAAAGACATTATGAAGAGGAGAAAGGTTAACATTGCATGCTTACAAGAAACTAAAAGGGTAAAAAAGCTAAAGAAATTGATGGCTACAAATTATGGTACATGGGAAACGTCAAAAATAGAAATGGAGTAGCAATAATAATAGATAAGGATCTAAAAAATGAAACTGTAAATGCTAAAAGAATTGGAGATAGAACGATTTTAATTAGACTTGTTTTAGGTGAAGAAATCTTTAACATAATTAGTGCTTATGCACCTCAAGTGGGTTTAGAAGAAAACATTAAAAGACAACTTTGGGAAAACTTAAAAAGGATTAGTCCAAGAAAATCCAAATAAAGAGAATATTTTTATAAGAGGAAACTTAAATAGACATGTGGGGAAAGAAATACATGATATGATATGGTGCATGGAGGATTTGGGTGGGTAGAGGAATGAAACAAGAGATACAATCTTAGAATATGTAGTAACTTATGATTTGGAAATTTTAGACAAAATTTTCCATAAAGAAGGACGAACACTTAATAATATTTAAAAGTGGCTCAAATATAAAAATATTTTTTCCCTTATTAGGAAAACAAAATGAATACTTTGTAAGGATTGCAAAATTATTCTAGGGGRAAATATTCATCAAAAAGAAAAAAAATATTCCAAGGGATAACTTAACCACACAACAAAGAATAGTATTAATAGATGTGTGCATTAGGGCATGGGAGAGAAACGCTGAAGAAAATAGGTGTCCAAGAATTAAGTGGGAAAACATAAAAAGAGAGAAACAAGCTCAATTTAGAGAGAAGTTGATGGTAGGACAAATGGAATTTAGATGGAAAGACAAATGATATATGACTTTAAATGGAAAATTGCATATAAAAAGTAGCAAATGATGTCTTCTTAGTAGAATCTAAGGCTAAGTTTGGGAAGAGTACAAATACAAATATGTATAGTGCAAATACAATGTTTAGAGATACGGTATACAAGGTTTGCATTGAACATATTTGTACTTGCACTCTTCCCAAACAACCAAACTAAGCCTAAAGGGAAATGGAAAAGTGATAAAGAAACTTTGGTGGTAGAATGAAGACGTTTAAAATATAAAGTTTGTTATAATACGCTATAGAAAACTGCTTGGTGATTAGGCGAGGCGAGACTCCAAGGGCGCCTTGTTGCCTAGGCGTCACCTTGACAACTATGGAAAGGTATGAGAGAAGCAAAAGTTATTATGGATAACTAAGCTTTTCAATGAGATAATGAAAGAAAAGAAGATGCTTAATGATTGGAGAAAGAGTGTTATGGTGCCTATATTTAAGAACAAAGGTGATCTACAAAATTGTAATAACTATCCAGCGATTAAGCTTGTGAGCCCACTATGAAACTTTGAGAGAGAATAGTTGAGAAATGAGAACAAAGTACAGGATGAAATAGGTACATCAGAGAACCAATTTCGGTTTACTATGCTAGGAAATCAACCATGGAAACTATGTTTTTTTTTTTTTTGAGAAGATTGATAGAAAAGTTCAGAGAGATCTCCAAATGGTTTTCATTGACCTAGAGAAAGCATATGATAGAGTTCCTAAAGAGATAACATAATGGGTCTTGGAAAACAAAGGAGTTCAAAGTAGGTACATAGACCTAATTAAGGATATGTATGATGGTGCAACAACCAATATTAGAACATTTGTGGGAGAGACATCAGATTTTTATAGGTTATATTAGAACATTTGCTAATGGCATCATTTTAATTGATGAAACTAACAAAGGATCAAATGTAAAATTAAATTTATGGACAAATGCCTTACAAGCTCAATATATGGTCTTAAATAATGTAAAACAAGTCTCCCTTGACAAAGCTAAATATAAACAAAAAAAAAACAAAGTAGAGAACTAATTCATATTGAATTGATTCGAATCACAGTGAATTGCAAGAATTGTATTAATCGTAGGATTTATGAATCAAATCATAGGATTCAAATAAAAATCACAAGATTTTGTGAATCGTATCGCAAATTGTAAGATTTTGACAACATTGATTCGTAAGAATTTAGAGTAACTCTGATAGGTGATAAAATGAGAGAAAATAGACTAAGATGATTTGGTCATGTGTAAAGAAGGTCATCAACAACACCCATATGAAGAAGTGATTTGCTACAAGTTGAAGGGGCTAGGGCTACAAGGTCAAGGGGTAGACCAAAAAAGTCATGGGTAGTAGTGAGAAATGAGTTAAGCGCCAATAATTTAACAATGGATATGACACTAAACAGAATGGATTGGTGATGTAGCCAACCCCATATAGTTGAGATAAGGCTTGGATGATGATATAAAGGGTTGATTTTGTGATTTTAGTTGTAGTCCATTCTATTTTAGGACTAGTGACCAAATATTTGTATTATTCTTGTTGCTTCTTTAGTAGAATTTGTGGTATTCAAGATCCTATTTGCAATAACTAAGGCTTCAGTTATTTAAAAGGATTTTGTTTTTGCTTATTTTAAAAGTTAATAGGTCATTATTGGTGTGTAAATAGCAAGAAAAGGTAATATAGAAGTTGACAAACCATTAAGGTGTAAAACACATAAGAATCTACCAAAAAAAGGGAATATTTGAAAAAGGCATGTGCATGAGCTGAGGCCTGAGGGACACTTTTTAAAACACTGCAACAGACCCCCTTTGCACACTCAAGCATGAGCACATATTCTTTAATGACATTACCATGGGATAAATGCATAAGAAATAGTCACTTAAAAGCCAGAAAATAACAAGTTTTCATGCAGCTAGGCGATATAACTAAACAGGGAATGAAACATAAGTGAACAATAAGTAATGGCTACATACAGTTAACCGGGTCAACTCTCCATGATTTGCAAGTCGTAGAGATAGTCCCCTTAACTCCTGACCTTGTAGAGCACCTTTGACAGAACCAGCAGCAGCTAATCTCTTAAGAGCCTCACGAGCAATGTCAGCTTGTGCCGTAGCATCTGCAGCATCAATAAGATCCAAAAACTGCTTTGCAAATTTTACTATTCCCTGGACAGAATCCACCAAGTTTTCCTGTTTAGCTGTTAAACTCAGAATGTTAGTTACATCTAGCCCTGTTGTTTCTTGCCCAATATCTCTGCTATTGCTCATTGTCAAGAGGCACTGAAGAGCTCTTTTCAAATCATTGCTCTGCATGGCAAGATCAAACTCCAACCTGAGAATTTTCCATGAACAAAAGGTTATTTAGTAATACAACATGAGAAACCTAAACATTAAGATTGATCCAGCCTAGTATTAAATGACATGGAAAAGAAATTCTTATATCAGGGAATTCAGGATCGTAAGCACACTGAGGAACACCAATTTGGATTATAGACCTCTTAGATATTCCAGGCAAGTGAAGTGCTTCTGTAGCATAACCCATCCCAAGCATGAATTGTGCTAAATCATCATGGTGCTCTCTACCAAGCCTACTTGCCCTGCATAATAAAGTGTATTTAGTAAAAACAATGCAGAAATAAATGTAGGGGACTAATATGGGCACAGCCCACTTTGATAAGTCCAGCACATCCCTAGTGAAAAGACAAAGAAACCATCTATTCTAATGAAGTTAAAACATGAGGGTGCTTCTGCGTCTCATTACCGATGATGTTACCCCTTTACCAAAATTGGAATATGCCAAAATCACTCCCAAAAATTAATTAAAATTGATCAAGAAGCAGCATACCATTTCACTGCACTAACTGCATCTCCATAGGCAGCAAGACAGCGGCAACGAATACCGGGATGGTTAAGAGACAAAGCATGGGCACACATGTACCTGAAGCAGAAAATCCAAGAATTTATGAACTTATTCTAAAGATGCAGAAGCCTATGAGAATCAGGCTTTGTCATAGTTGTAACAGCTTTTTGGTGTTCGATAACAAGATCAGAGAGGATTTATCAATAAATCTAAACAGAAAAGGGGAAAAAAAGAACTGCAAGGGTTCTTTAATACAGATCCAAATAAGAGTCGGTTTTCAATTGGAAAAAAAAAAGCACCACATAACTTGCAGCTTGTTTTTTCAGCATTAGAGTCTTAGATGTTGCAAGTTGTAACAGATTATTCCTTAAACTTAAGATGATGGAATGAAAGTCGTTGGCAGTATTGAAATTGAGGGAACTCCATTCGACATAATCAGGACAGAATGGGATGATCAAAGAAACTGGTCATGTAAAAGATATTCAAACATTCGAACTAATGATTCCATTTAGAATTTCGAAGTGACCACTGCAAATGGCACAATTTGCATTCATTATAGAAAGATGCCTAAACCTGATTATACTCAACCCTTCACTTAATCAAATCAAAGATGTAAGTATTAATTTCTTCTTATTTAAAATACTCAAATATTTATTTTTTGATCAGTGAAATACTGAAATTTATGTACTAGGATTCAAAGGAGTATTTACGGTGGATTCTTTCATGTTTGATCGTAAACATGGAGCTTTTTCATACAGAAAGGGTTCAATTTGAAATCTTTGGATTAGAAATGACATCTATTAAGCTGAATGGTGATAATTATATACCATGTGCTAAATCAGTGGTGATCTTTCTTAAGGCAAAATAAGTTAAAATACTTGAATGCAAAACCAACAACTAGTAGCAATGAGCTTGATACCTATCAACCTCTTAGTTCAGATATCAAAATTTAGTAGCAGTAGATGGGGCAGTTTGACATAGCACATTTTCTTTCAGGGCTTAGGCCAGAGTTTGAGCCTGTTCGAGCTCAGATATTGGGTAGTGCCAAACTTCCCTCATTAGAGGAGGTCTTTGCTCGGATTGTAAGGTGTCTCTTGGTCCTACAGAGACAATTACTGGACATGAAAGATTAGCATTAGTAGTGGTGAGAAGGGGAGGTCATGGTGGAACTAGAGTTGGACGTGGGAATACAAGTGATGGCAGGACTGGCCTGAATAATCAAGGACTCGATGGATGTGGTGGTGGACGTGAACAAACAGGAGGTAATGGAAAAGGTGGCTATGGAATAAAAAAGTGTACTTATTGTAGGAAGGATAGTCATAAATTAACTACTATTATGACCTTCACCCACTTCCTAGCTGGGAAAATCATGCAGTAGCAAGTGATGATCATGGGGATAGTTCTAATCCTAGATGGATTTAGTGACATCAGCAAATGCTACTTGGAAGGAGATGGTATCTCATGTGAAGATGACAAATTCCTCTAGTTTTCTAACCAAAATCATACTACCACCACACTTGCTACTTTGGGTATGGCTTGTGTAGATTCCCTGTCATCTCATTCACCAACCTAGGTCATTGATTCTGGAGCATTTGATCATATGATTGGGTCATACATGTGTTTGCTTCCTTGTTTCGTTCTTCTCCCTCTCAGTCTGTTACCCTTGCTAATGGTACTATTACTCCTTTTCTTGGTGTAGGTGACGGGATTGGTCTGAATTCCGAATGTTTGAGGAATGGTGGAAAGCTGGTGGAGAGAGAGGAGTCAGTAGGGGGAAGAAGGGAATTGCTAGACCTTGAGAGGGGCTACACTACATACCCTCCTAAGAGGGATCAGGCCTAACATAGTCCAAATGATGTTTCTAGTGATGAAGTGAGTTGGTGGAATGAGAAAGGAAAGTAACCAAGACTATCAACCACTAGCCAGCATGCTACACTGGTGACTTGTCTTGAATTGTTGTTTCATGACCTGAGTTTGACTGACCTGGTTCTACTTTGGCTTGGGGTTGGTTGGACTGGGTTTATGGCCTTATGCATATCTATGTTCTTACAATCAGTTTTGGTGATGTTCCTCTTCACTTACCATTACCATTGCCTTTGTCTTCTGTTCTTTATGTTCCTAAGTTTCTGTTAAATTTAATGTCCGGTAGTAAATTTTCTAAATCTCTTAATCATTCTGTTACATTCCTTTTTTCATATTATGTTTTTCAAGATCAAAAAACAGGGAAAACAATTAGTTGAAGGCATGAGATATGAGGATTGAAACTTGGGTAGGCCCAACCTGAGCCTGACCCAACTCGTGTTTTTTGCATGGGTTGGGCTTGAGTTTTCGGGTTGCGGGCCAGGCGTAAGCTAGAAAAAACTTGGGCTTCACCTAAACTTAAGTTAGGCTTGGATTGAGGCCTTGGGTAGCACGAGCCCGGATCAATCTAACCTAGTCCCAAACTAACCCAAGCCCGCCTTAACAAATACTTACTAACATGCATACAGAGAAATGCTTAATCTCCCTTCTCACCAGTATTGGTGTGTTTATATAGAAATGCTTTTTCCTTTTCTAATTATATATACCCATGTACATTGTACATAGGTGTATACACATTTATAAATGAAACTTGTACATGTTTTCAATCAATTTTACTCCTAAATTGGGCCACAAATCCCAATAAAAGATGGTTATACAAAAATATATTCATAAGTTCTTACAAACCTGACCAAGCTTGATTAAGCTCAGCCTGATTTGTGCTGGGTTAAGTTCGGGTTGGGCCTAGGTTTATAACTCAAGCTTAAGTGCTTAACCTTAGGTTTGGCAAGGTCAAGCCTAAGATTGAGGTTTGAACCTTTAGATTTGGGCCTGGGTTGATCTTCAATCCAACCCAACTCACCCATATTGCACCCCTAATTCTAGTCATCTTTTACTCCATTCCAGTGGCATTACCATCTTGGTCATCCCACGCTACAGAAACTGAAGTCTTTGGTGCCTACTCTGAGCCATCTCCTCCTTGGAGTGTGTTTCAGAGTTGAGAGTCATGCATTAAGTCCTAAATTAGCTCTACATCCATTAGTTCCTAAATTAACTCCTTATAGTTTGATTTACCCATTGCCCTCAAAAAAAGGTAAATATTCTTGTACCACTGATCCCTTGTACATTATCCTTTGTTATAACCATTTGCCACCTACTTATCAACAATTCATTTCTTTGTTTTCCTCATTTTCTTTTCCTAATTCTATTCAAGAGGCTATTCGACTTATTGGTTGGAAACAAACTATGGATTATACTGTGAAGTATAATTTTTCTTCCTCTTGGAAAAAAAAATGTTGTTGGTTGTTGTTGGGTTTATACTGTGAACTACTTACCAGATAGCAATGTAGACAAGCTAAAAGTGACTTGTCGTAAAGGCTACACCCAAACCTATGGTGCAGACTATTCAGAGACATTTCCAAGTGGCTAAGATTGCACCAGTGCATGTTGTGATCTCCCTTGTTGCCACTTTCCACTGGCCATTGTTCCAGACAATGTTTTAAAACACGGAGGCGAAGCACAAGGTGTTCCACTACCTAGAGGTGTGAGGCGTAGTTCAGAATGCAAGAGGCATAAGCCTCCCGAACACAAGGAAGCATAAGCCTCCTTAAGAGGATGGAGGTTAGAAGGAAGGGGAGGAGGATGAAGGGGAAGGGGGGATGTCATTTTTTCTTTATTTTTACTAAAAATCCTTTATATTAAGAAGAACAAAGACGCATAACATTAGTTGAAAGGGGGGTAAACCACTTTCTTTCTCCTTGTCTTTTCTTCCCTTCCCATTCCTTTTCTTTTCTTTCCTTTTTCTCTTTTTTTCTTCTCTTTCTTTTTCTTTCCCTTCCATTTCTTTTCTTTTCCTTTCCTTTCCTTTTTTTTTTGTCTTTTTATATAAGATGTGCATGAGGCGCATGAGGCGTATGCCTCACCTCAGAGCTGTCAGCGCCTCTGGCATATGCCTCAGTGTGACGGTTCAGCACAGGCTTAGCCTTGCCTACGCTTGGCAGGCTTACGTTAGGGACATGCCCGTCATTTTCGCCTGTAAGATTTTTGGGAGAACTGATGTCAT